TATATGTATATATATGTATGTATATATATATATATATATATGTATGTATGTATATATGTGTGTATGTATATTCAATCACTCGATAGCGTGTAATCACGTGGAAAGTTTGCTCGAGTTTGGCACGTACGCTGGTTAGTTTTAACAGAAAGCTCTCATCCAAATATGCGCTCGAAGAGAACTAATTTACTAACTTTTCCCTCTTTTACACAAGAGGGTCTGTATTAATTTCGACAAATAATAATTGGCAGAAAAAACTTTAAAAATTAATATTCGCATAACAAATATTAACTTTGCGAAGGTTTTTTTTAATAAACTCTGGTAATTATTTTGTGTTAATTTATTAAGAGATTAAGAACGAATATATATATATATTTTGTTAAATTTATTTTATCTGTGAGCAAATATGAATAAAACATTAAATTTTTCAAATATTGTGTAATCAATATATTTCACAAAACTCTAGGGAAAATATCTTAATTAATATTAGACTGATGATCTTTGCCGTCATACACCGAGGTCAAACATTTATATAGTTTTATACGTAGTTTGTGTATGCTGTTGATACCTTTAAATGTATGAAGTTCAATGATCGTAGTTTTAAATACGAAAATTATTTGCCAATCAAAGAATTGTATTACTTCTCATCTTCCTTTACCTTAGTTTATGTTTATCTCACCAAGCTTTTCTCATAAGGTCACTTTAAATTTCACTTGCGCGTACTCTCTTGTGAAATCTTAAACTTCTTTATGCATTCGGGCTCATCTTAACAATAATTTCTAATACATTCTAATTGGATCGTTTCATTTACCTTAATATTTCGACACAAAATTATAGGTTTATGTTAGTATATTTTTTACGGTAATACATTTAATAGATAAGAACCATTGCATAGCTCTTTTTTTTTTAGATTTATGGGACTTAAATGCTACTTCTGTGAATATATTATATTCACTTTAATTATAACGATAATCATCGGTCTTTCTAATCGGAGTTGTAATTTTATACAATTATTGAGTTTTGTTATGATGAAGTTGTTACAAGTACTGTCTTACCTTAAACTTATATCTTTTTGTCGTAACAATTATTTCACCCGAAACTTTCGTCTTTTTAAGAAATCTAATTTTCCATTCAACATTAAAAACTGCGTACCGTATTCCATATATCATTGCCAGTCTCACTGAAGTTTTATAAAAATTTATTACCGCATTATTTTATACCGTACAGTACACGTACGACATACTCTATACTTAATTTTTCTTGGACGTCATCTTACACGTGGGTCTTTACTTTTTTTGTATTTAGCTCTATTGCATTATAGCACATCTTTGCTTACCGTCTTATTCGTTATATAATGTCACCATTTAAGAATATATATAGCAAAGAAATGTAATTACCTGTTCTTGTAAGGCTACCAATTTATCTTCAAGGTTCACCAAACGTTCTTCGAATGCGTCGTACCTATTACTCATGTCCGATACGATTTCATACACAGTGTTCTGCGTCTGAAAACATATTAATCAATTTCCTCCATATTTATCATACGGTGACATATGCGTGTACTTACTTTGGCCATGTCCGTTATTGTATTCGCATTGTCCATTAGTTTTCTTTGGTCCATTTTAACTTTTCTTAATCTGTAAAAAATGGACGTTTTAAAATTGTTTACGATATAAATAAAGTTGTAGCTTTGAATATCGATGTGCGTTTTCGTTTTTATTTGGATACAATTTTACAAGCATCTATAGACTGGTTGTGTTAGTAAGGATATCTATTTTAAAGTTTTTAACCAAACAATTCGCTATATTTAGATTAAAAATGTCTGGTATTATTGATAAAATTTACAGCAGAGAAATAAAATTTCTTATATGCAAAAAATATAAAAACGCTTTTTGTATTCAAATCAGAAACGCCTGACATTTACTTTTTGCAGAGATCCAAACTGCTTTCCGTTTTACATAGAAAAAATTTGCCAGTCAAAGTTGTAATAAAAGAGTTATTTACATTTTTTAAGTACAAAAGTTCTGAGAGTAGCACTTGGAAGTTTTTCATTCTGTTTGTACGATTGTTAATATTCATTCATTTAATCAGAAATAGTTTTTCAGAAGTTCTACGAGATTACAAAGTACAAAATTAAGTATCGAACTTCTCGATATTAATAAATCAAAAATGAACAATTTTTAGAGGATTATTTAAATCATTATGCTCATATAGTAATGTAGTACGATTTAAAGATTTTCACCAGCTTAAATGATGTTATTAAAGAATAAGGTTAGAAAATAAAAAAAAAATGTATTTATTTTTATTCTAAGCTTACAATTGATAATAATTGTCATAAAAATATAACATCATATTATGCTTCTTCGAAAAAAAGGTGGAAATAATATAGCGTTGTTTATGAATTATTTTATTTAAAAGGTTTTTCGGAACATTTACTCTATTCATAATGATTTTTTTAATAGCAATGCCATATTATGTCGCTCCCTATTTCCCATACGAATTTCGGATTCATGTTTTTATTCTTAGCTTGAAAACTAATTTTGTGTGGGAACAAATGGTGTATAGGTTTAGCATTCCCCTCGGGCACCTACTCTATTTTTTTTTTTTTATCCCCAAACCCAACAAATTTTATGTACGGCTGGGAAATAAAAGTACCGGAAAAACGATCGGCTGGGCCGTTTTAATGTTTTCGCGTAATCCCGAAAAACCGATAAACTCACGCGTATATAGCCAATAAAAATTTCCTTTGGTGTGTCCGAACTCTGCCTGCGTTCACCCGTTTCACCAGTCTGGTGTGTTTGTAGATCAGCCACGTTTCTCGGAGAACGTTAGCCGCTGCGTTTTTCAGCTGTGGAAAAAAATAAAAAAGTCATTATTACGGTATTGTGTTTTATTTTGTTTACGAAAACAAGCAAACAGCATCGACACGATAAAGATCGCTGTACGATTGTTTTAGTGCTGTAATTATTATACTTAAGCAATCGCATAATGCGTTTGTCGCGTACTCGTTTTGTCAGTTGTGTGTCCATCATGAAATTGTGCACGTGCTTCTCGGCCCTGGACAATTCCATTTTCCGGGACACGACGGCCACCAGAAGAGCCGTACAACCGGCGCCCTGCAAAACACCATTCGATGTAACCGAACTGTAGTGTTGCCAGTGGTGGTGGTACAATAGTCAAACGGGGACTGTACGCTCTACGTAAAATCTAAGTGGGTATATGATTTCGTAAGTCTAATTTGATTAGTGTGTGTAATGGATGACTAAAGCCAACGGGACTAATTTTAAAGGGTACATGCACTTTGGTGACGGCGAGGTGATCAACGTTTTAATCGTATTATTGGATTGATAGAAAAAAAAAAAACAAATAAATCAATGGCCATGAAGGATGCATCGCGAAAACCATGCGGTACAAAAAAAAAAACATCTTTGTACGTGTTGATTTATTTATTTTTTTTATTTGCGAAAAATACTTCGGTCCGCACTCTTTGAGCTTTTAAAATTAAACAAAGATGAAATATAAAAGCTCGATGATTAAGTTGTTTGAGTAGTATAGCTAGCTAAACTCATGCAAAAAATAAAATGCTCAATGAACTATGCATTGTTTAGTATGTGTAAAAAATGTATCAATGCTAAATGTATGCAAATAATATTTCGTTATTCAATAAATCATAAATAATTATCATCAAAAGCGTAGTGTTTAACTCTTTTTTTTTTTTGCTTTTATGTTATTGACTGTTTTTTTCGTTTTGTCATTGATGTTTTTGAACCGATAGCTGGTGGGTTTTGTTTGATTTTTAAAGGGGTTTCCCAGTTGTTTGGCATTTGTGTCGGAAATAATAGGGACGTACCCAAAAAACTTTCATTTTCAAAAATAAATGTCCAATATCAATGTGTGTTTGGAGTCGGTACGTTTTATTTATTGATATGTACGACGACAAAAACATTTAACATCGTCATGTACTTGCTATCTCTTAAACGTTCAATATTTTTTTATCACTTTTCGTCTTCTGCTAGACGTTTACCACCAACTCCACGCCAGCACATAGCGAGAAATAATAGTCTGCAGCAAAGAATACAGTGCAGATATTTTCAGTTTATGTAGGTTATTATTGTTATTAATATTTGTTATAGTGATTCAATCAGCAAAGCGTTGTACATCATCCACGTCATTATTGTAAAGTTATCGCATGCAATATCGTATTGATAATAAAAAACATTAGTTTCCTGTACAGCTTTATCATAAATCAAAACAATGTAACGTGCAACGCGAATTAGTAAACAAAATAGTTAAATAATTGATCGTTATTTACACATGATCTTCATTTTGCATTTTATTTTAAATTTCATTGAGGTGTTGATTTATATTAACAAAGCGTGAGGCTGTTGATTCTGCGCATGTGAACATTTCTGTAGCTATTATTTAATAACAAATATGAAGTGTAAAAGTGAAAATAAAAAAATTCCCAAAAAATACGCTTGTTAGACAACTGGTTTCAATTCCGACAGATTTTCTTTTTAATTATCACCCCGTTTATTCGTAAAAATCCCAGACCAAACATTTTATTTTCGTGCAAAAAAATTCGTCATTTGTAAATAATTGTAGAGCGTATCATTCATATTATTATTAAATTTATTTGTGTGTACAAGTGTTATACTTTTTCCTAGAAACTATAGAACGGTGCATCTACGCCATATAGGTAGTGTCTAATTTCTAATTATAAATTATAAAATAATATCAGTAATAAATAAATGAAATATTAGTTAATACCATAGTAATTAGTATAATAATAATAATAATAAAATAATAATAAACTGTACACATTAACCGTGACACTATTAATGAATATAGTTGAGGATTAGTCAAAGCCGTTCGTTCACAAAATATGTAAAAAAATATTTGCTCAAAAATTAAAAGTATTACATATTATAAATTGTGCCTAAGTCACTATTTGAAACTACTGTACACAACCGCAGAGTGACGTATTGCATTTCCTTAAAATTTGTCGTATACAGCGTGACACTTGGAATGTGCATCGTCCGAGCTATCCTCTGAGAGGGCCAACTAAAACTTGTGACGTTAAACGTCGTATAATGAAGTAAATGAAATGAATCGCGTTTGAAAATATGTACAAAGCTGATGCATTTCACGTATGCTCATCTCCCAATAACACTCGTAGCGATGTAAACTTTTTATGGTGAACAGGCGCATTTGAAAAGCTGGTACAATGCAATTCCAAGCGGCTAACAGGCAAAAAATGTTATTTTGAAGCAAAAGTCGGCCGTGGTATAGGATGTCTCTCGGAGGTCGTTTTGGGTAGGTAAGGGTGATTGAGTATTTTTTTTAATTATTTGGTTTTGTGTTTTGAACTGCAGTGTTGGGGCTTACCATTATGCCGGTGGTGACCGCAATGCCACGACCACAGTAAGTGTTTGGCACTATGTCTCCGAAGCCCACGCTCAGGAACGTGATCGCTATGAACCACATGGAGTTCAGCAGGTTAGCGTGATCTTCATCATGAAACCTACAGAGCCCCATATCATAATATAAAGAGAATTGATGGCACAACCCCAGCACCCGTACAAATATTATAAATAAATAAAAAATAATAATAATAATAATAAGAAAACATTACTATTGTATAAAAACTATAAATATTAGATGATTACGGTACACATCAAGTGATTTCATACTCTTTTTCACGCTGCATGTCAATTCTACGTGTTTGTTATCGTTATTCTTAAACCTATCGACTCCAAAAAACACATCGATACGCCGTGTCACCGTTCGTTAGGTTTAAAACAATAGCCAAAGTTTAAGGTATTTTTTTTTTTGTGTACCACTGATTATCGGTACATTTAAAAACGAGACAATAACACAATGACTTCAACAGTTTTTCCCATACCGCTCGACGATTTTCTACTATCTGATTTTCCAACTAATATTTAGCGTTCAACAAAATACCCTCGGCGAATTTAGTTTGTAAGTCGTGTCGTTGGAAAGTATCCGATCGTCACGAATTTCCGATCGAAGGACGACGACGTGTGACATGACTGTTCGGTTAACGTTCAATAGTAATGTATCGTTCTCGAGATTAATTCGAAAGTCTCAAAAGTTATCCGGTCAGTTTCGGTAAATGACTTTTTAGAGGCAATATGAAGTTGGAAAACTGTGCGCGGCGGCTGTATGATACAAAGTTGGCCGGACCTGGTGCCAGAAAATAATTATTTAGGGCCTGCGTCATGTCCCTTCGGGGGAAAAAAATGTACGGTTAACAATAACGATGATTAAAATTTCGTACAAATCGTGAGTTATAATTCAGCCGTCGGAATTAGATTGTCCGTATTTTACTATCAGGTCGGCGGCGGTGTGCAACGTGAACCCAATTAATGCGTTACTTTAGTGTTAACAATATCAATTATCGTAGCGACTGGTGTAACACGATATGTACACTTATCGCGTCCACCTATAATTACAAAGAGTGTAAACATTTCGCTTTTAATTGAGATAAAAAAAAAACCCAGAAAATACGAGTGTATCCAATACAGTTTCTCGTATGTATGTAAAAAAAAAAAAAAAAAAAAGCAACAACAATAAAAATAAAACATCGGACACTGGTGGGGTTACTTATTATGTGTGAGGGTAAACGAGGGTTGAGGTATAAATGATTGGGGACAAAAAAAAAATCAAAAGCACACCATGACTGTGTGTGTTGTTGTGTGTGTCTCTGGTATTATCATATTATTCGTGTGACACTATTAATCTTACCATAATACCGCAAGACAGCGTGATGCCTCGTCCGCAGTAAGTGTTTGGTACAATGTCTCCGTAGCCTACACTGAGTAACGTGATGGCTATCAGCCACATGGAGTTCAAGTAATTTGCGTGGTCCTCGTCGTGGAACCTGCGTGCAATACATACACATGTGTCTACTGCACTACCCTGTCCACTACCGGCCGCTTAATTACGTGTTTGGTAGCGGTAAAGAATAGTCCACACAACACGTGCGTGACGTCACACTTACATCCGCCTCAACTTTTAATTAATTAGCAATGCGTCGCATTTGAATGCGCACATTTTAGTTTATCGTGTACAACCAAATCAATATTACACATCGATATTAATTATATTTAATGATTATAGCAAAAAAGGAAAACCATAGTAATTTTTTAAGAGAGAGAGTTTATTTTTACTGTCACCTGAAAAAACACGCTCTGCGTATCCGTTATCATAGTGAAGATAACACAAATTTTTCTGAACAATAGATGATTTTTTATACGCGGAAAACGTATAAAATAACTTTTATACGCATAAAAAACATAATAATATATCGACACGCGGTTGAAACGAGCGTAGAAAGAAAAATGGATCGCAGTCGTATTTTTTCTGATGGTAACCCTGAAGGTTCGGGAGGTTACAGTAAAGCTACTAATGGTTTATTGAAGTAAGACTTTTAATGTGTTTTCGTCGTTACACTTGAAAAAGTCTAGTTGAAAAGCAACGGTGGTTAAACAATGTTGTACCGATCGAGTTTAATTAATTTACATAGACCGCTATAGCAGTGCGAGTCAGCTAGCTGGTGTTTCTTTCCCTTTTTTACCGACACACAGTTATATCGGAGCATTGATTTGACATACGCGTATGCACTAGAAATTCAGGGAAAACGACAAGGTGCCATTAATTATTCGAACATTTCCACGTCAAGGTTATTTCGATGTCAGTATTTTCCGACGGTTCTGTAATTTGCTAATTTCATTGTATCGGCGCACAAATACAGTCGACTCAATAGGATTAGTATACACTATGTGGTTTATGTTGACTGTTTATTACTGTGCGTCAAATTCATTTTTTCCACGACAAAAATAATGCGAAATAACACGCCTTGCAAGTCAAATGATTAAAAACCTATTCGTGGCTATATCCTAACCGGACTACACGACCGTCATTTATTTAACAAAAATTTTATTTTATTTTGCAGCGGAGTAAATGTTCTCTATGCTCGAAAAATCAATACCGCCGCCCTTAATGAATTTTCTCGGTTTTTTAACGTTCCCGATAGAATCACGTTGGTCGTTAAACGTTCATTAGCAATAGGGGTACATTTGCCCCTCTGCGGTAACCTTGTTACAGAAATTATAATATTTAATCATCGGACACGTTAATTTTACGGGCGCGCGTTTTGCAATTAAACGGTCGATGGATTACTGAGGGTTTTAGTTTGAAATCGTTTTAATTTGTTTTGGAAACTACTCGTGGGTATCAAAGCAGCTGTGCCAACCGTGTTAGCACTTTGGATCTTATATGTACTACTAAAACGAATATAAGATATATTTGGACAGCTAATAGCTCGAGTGGTACGACAAATGACCACGGCGGTAAGTTATTAAACATAAAACAACCATTTGAATGATTGGTGTTAGTCGTTTGAGAGAGTCCAAATTACCCGGGAGGCTATCTGTTATGAGGGGCTGCCGGTAGTTTTGGTTCATTTGTTCGAAAGAATAATGGTTGTAGGAAGTAATTTTAGGTGAATGAACAAACGAATTTACGATAACTCGGGGCGCAAACGACCAAAAGTCGATTTGATAATTAAGAAGGAAAGTCGTCGTTGCCGTTCATCATTCTACATGCCATCGCTTGACGAAAAGCCGATTGATTATTTTGTCATCGATTGATTGAGAAAATAAAGTCATTTAGATTTTGTTATTTTTTGTAAATTCTGCGAAAACAATTGAAAATGGCATTGAGTCATACGAATCGCTTAAAACACAGAGAACGATAGTAAAAGAACTTAACATACTTTCAGTAAATAGTTGTTGATATATGTATAAATCGATGGATTTTTTCTCAGTAGTTCAAAGCCCATTGAACATTTTGATATTGTATGTTATTTAAGCTTTTCGACACCAAAAAAAAAATACTTTGTAGCAGGGCTTAATCATTTTCCATGACGTTTTCAAACGACAAAAAACGATATAATTGCAAAACCACAAATGTTAAAATATCAGTAAGATTTTTTCGTTTATTTCATTGAACAAAATAAATTAAATGAATAAAATCATATTCGTTATGTTTTACTAATAAAAACGTTACAAAAAACATGTATAAGGAGTTAATGTATTAAAATATCTAAAACGTTCTAATATGATAAATTCGTCTTTATTTTCCGACAGAAATAACTGTATTAAAAATAGTACTATTAAAGTAAATGGAAAATATTTTTAAGCCAACATATTGAAGATTAATGAAATATGCGAATAAAATGAATGTGTTATATTCTTAGAATATATACAAGAAAAGTTATAAATTATTATAAAAATACTAAGTTAGTATGTTCAGGAAATTAATTTGAAAAATAAGTTAAAAATAACTCGGAATTTCGTATTTATACGAATGGTTGCACTATATAGATATTATTCAAATGACAATTTCAAATTCATTGATAAAGATATTGATAACATAAATGTTCCATGCTCCGAATGAACTATATGCATAAACCTTAATTTACGTTCGGTTAGAATGTTATAACTAAACGGTTATTGTTTAGAACGTTTGATAGTAAAATTAGACTGAGCTTATAGTTCCAGTATGAATTATACAACATTGACTGTTTTAGCAGTTAAAACATTCTTTTATAGCAATTAAACAAGTCAGTAGAGTAATAAATTTGAATAGAGAGAATAACATTTTTCTAGTATACTTAATGAGAGACTTATCCAATGTGTAAAATAAATAATTAAATAGCTGATATTATTTATTGAGAGTATTGAAGATATAAAGAATTGTAGATGAAGTGACTAAGAAAAACAGTCGGGTTTTTTCGAAAACAGTAAATTATTTTTAATAAAAACTACCAAACTTAGTCATTTCGGAAAAAAAGTTAAAAAATAATTTAAGACGTTATCATAAAATAAAAACTTTTTAAATAACAGAAACTTTAAATAAGAAAACGTTTAATTGGGCTGTATAAAAAAACAAATAAAATTTTAACGTTTTAAAATTTATAACTTAAAAATAATAAGAACATTTTTATTTCAAAACCTGATTTATAATGATTTGGTTGCTGACATATTATTGTATTTTGAAATTAAGTTTTTTGATACGTTTTTGTTAATATTGCGGCATTAAATATTTTAATGAATGTTATACTCGTAATAGTTTGTAGTATTTTTTTTCACCTCTGAGAGTATTATGATAGTAAAATGGGTCTCATTTCTTACTAAATAAAAATTAAATATGCACGAGTTGTCTACGAAAATTCAGTGAAGGCTGTGGAAAAATTTTTAACAAAAAAGTCACTTGCAGCCTACGGAAATTAAAGAAATTCGAATTTTGAAAATCTCCCCAATAATACATTATTACTGAAGTAAGTAATCAGTCACAATCTTGGAATTTTAATTAAGATTTTAACCAACACGTACGTTTTTTTAGACAATTATAAGTTTTTCTTTTAAAACTTGGAGAGATACAGAAATTATCATAATTAGTCTGTTAAGCCAAGCTTTAATTTTATCGTTGCAAATTTTACAGACGACTGAAAGATAATTTTTTAAAAGTTTTTCATTCACATTTGAATAGAAATAAAAACCTTTTTTATTTGTACTAAAAGTGTAAATGGGTTATGCATAAAATGTGGATCAGATAATAAGCTTGAAAATACTGGTAGGATTGAAGGTTTGTGTGGAAGATTTGGGATGGTTTATCGGGATTAGGACATTTTGTGTGGTCATTCAATTTGCTATTCTAATACACCACTGGGAAATGTTTCTCATAAATACCTTCGAAGGTATAAGTTTTATAGTTATTTGCTAGTCGAACGGTCCTGTGTATTCAAATTGGCCAGTGCTATTGATTAGTCGTCAGGTATTTCACATTTATTCATTCACAAAACTAAAATGCTATTCAACCGTATTTAAGTAAAACAATGGGTACTCATTTGATTTGATGCACAATTGTGTTACTGTCTGATTTTAACCTTCTCGATCGATACAAGCAAATTAAATTTGTACAGTTTATTGAGCATTTAAACTCAGTAAGTTAATCAATAGTCAATAAAAGTTGAAAAACATTTTAAAAAATTGCAACAGTTCAAAGTGTAAATGGAATAATTGCATGATAAATTTTTTACCCAATATTATTCATAGTGATTAATTATTTAAATTTATGTATTAATTTTAACATAATTTATTAAACTATTTTATAATCAACTAAATATATGGTTAATGTATTAAAAGTTTAGATCAATCGAATAGTATGCAAATTTAATTTGAATTAATGGAATAGCCCTATCAGTGAAATATATGTTTAAGATAAAGGTGAAATACAGTTTATATTATAAAATTGAAATTTTAATTTTTTAAATCGTGGTATAAATAAAAAATTTAATTACGTTTTTGAGTTCATCTGTTTTTCTTTTAAGTGATTCTACAAGTTTTTCTGTAAATGAAAAAAATATATTTCTGATTTATTGAAGTATTAATTTATTAACTCATTTTATAATTTTATTACCGTGAATGAACTAGCCAACTTTTGTCGGAAGTATTTTGAAGGGAATCTTTCGAATATAGTTTCAATTAACTTAGCGGTTTTGGATTATAATCTTCATTTTGAAAACCGTTTCTTAATTAAATTTTACAACTATTTAATATCAGAGATTTTCAGGTTTCAAAACGTTATGATGAGATTCTCTAGACTTTGAATTTTTATTGGAATATATTATCAGGGTCTTCTTAAACTATGTTAATCTACAAATTTTGGTATTCATGACATAACATTTAATGTTTATTATAATTAGGCGACACTGTTTTGTCAATATTGTGATAAAATTCTAAATTACCATGCGTAAAAACACATATATATTTTTTTTATACACTTAACTTCTGTATTAAAATCAAATTACTAGTGAAGCATTATTTTGCCATATAACTTTAGTTATTACCTGAATGCAAAAGGGTTGTGGTATTTATTAATAATTAATGTGTTCAAAAGTAGTTTTTCGGCTTAACGTATTTTTTATACGCAATTTATACCTATTAAAAATAAAATGAAATAATAAACTAGAACACATTTTAAGGAAACTATATTTCAGATAAAGATCATTTTAGTTAACCATGAAAATATGAATGATGTAATCGTGATTTTTTAGTGTATGTCTTCAATGTACAATATAGTGTATCGTCATTGAATTCGGTTGGTAAGTTAGAGAAGATTAAAATAGGTACCTTGAACTGTGGCAATGTAAAAATTAGAGTCTCGTGAATATCGTGTCCTAGAATTAAGGTTGGTTGTGAAGACAATTTTAAAAAAATAAAGAAGAGTATTGAATAGTTGTGACATTTAAGTACCTGAACTCAAAAGAAATTCAATGATTACCCGTAAAAATATAATTAAAAGAAAATCGTTTCAGACGCTTTTACCTTTCGCACTGTCTGAGCGTCCAGCTGGCGATGATCCACAGGGATACCATGAACACGAGTAGCACCGTGCCAGGGCAAATGGTCATGAGAGTTTTCAGCACAAACCTCGTATTGAAGTTGATTCGGTTCAGAGCACCAATGCTGCGGGACGACGCGTCCGTGAATAGTTTGCTGTGCAACAACATGACCCTGCAGATCAGGTACAATCGGAAGAACATTGGTAGCGATAGCGGTACGTCGTACGGCACCCATCGCGTTTCCAGCTTGCCGTGCTTGTTTGCTAGCTTGGTCTTCCACTCGAAGTAATACTCACCGGGTATCGGATGGATGGCACATATCACTAGTTCCATTGTTATTGTGGCTATTCGTTGCCACGTCATCGCGATCCGCCAGTCGTCCGCACAGTTGTCGATCATAAATAACTGAATGAGAAAAAAAAACCAGCTGATTGTAATGAATGGAAAAAATAATATCATACAAACCATACCGTTCGGGTCAATTACATTTTAAGCGAAATTTTATTAGGACCGCTTTTAAACAATTAAAAAATAATTTCGTTGCGTAATGCAGAAGGTGTTGATGCGTCGCATTTTAAATTAGATTCTACTAAAAACGAAGGGGACAAAATTAAGTTTGTTGGAATAACTTAATTACTTTTTCTACTCGGTTTGTCGAGGATCAAAATTAAGACTCCTACATGTGTTTGCTATCAAAACTTTTTCATTTAAATTGTTTGCAATAAACATTAGTCGTGGATTAATGTATAATTTAGTCACAATTGTTACGGTTTTTATGTAAATTTCATTTGTTCGAGTTGTTTTGACTACGAAGTTGATTCCATTATCTCGACAAATTTATTATTTCAGCGTTTTGAAAGGAAAATAAAAAAAAAAATAGGTCCAATAGAAAAACATCTATATATATTTATGAAATAATAATAATAAAACAAAATAACGAGCTGTCATTATTTATTTGCCGCAGAAGTATTTTTTTTTTTTTTTAATTCTTAGTATAAGATTGAGTTTTTTGTCGAAGAAAACTACAAACAAAACTTAAAAAGAAGGGCTATAAGTTATGTAAAAAAATGAACAAAAAAAATAGTGACAAAAAAATGCGTCAGCGTTAAGGAAATACTTAAAGAAATGAGAATGTTGTAGTCGCCCGTTCTGGTAACGATCGTGTACCCAAAAATGCACAGCCACAAATATTCACGTGTCTTTTGGATATACTTTTGCTAAAAAGAAGAATCTTATTATTCCATTTGGAATCGCCTGATTTAAGATAACATTTATGTCTTATGGAGAACAGAAAACACAACACCCAAGCCATTCCATCAATAATTAATGAGTATATTTTAAATCTTCGTGAATAATGCATATCAAGCACAGTTTTGGCTAAGATTCTCGGTATCTTCATGTTATTTGTCTTTTTCTCTTTTATAGAGGGGGAGTGAGAAAGAGTAGCGAATTGAAATTTCACATTATATATAGCTTAATATATTTCATTAAAAAAAAAAGAGAATAAAATTACTGAACACAAACAAATAAATGGGCTTGTTTTTGTTTTAAAACTGCCACGAAACTTAAACTGTAGAATATTATCATACAAAATATGACTCTTATTTAATTGAAATTCGAGTTTATTATATTTACTGTCAAATGGGAAAATGTGATTTCACGATCAAACTTGCCTAATCTCCATAATAGTGCTTGGGTAAATTTTAACTATAAGACTTGTTAGCTGATCGCAGATCTCGAGCTTTAATTGCATCAAGATAACAAAATGATGTTTACTTTAGACAGAGATAATGTTTCCCGATAAATCCTTGCCTAATCGTTTTTGGTATTTGATTACTACATAAGGTCTCTGCAAACTGAAATGGCATGTGAACACGCAGCTGTTGCGTTTTGTACGACGATTCAAAAAGGGATCAGCCAGGAAAGAACAACTTAACATTCAATTGCTTTCGTTGCAGCAAAGGAATTATTATAAAATTTGCTTATCGTAAATTACGTTTATTCATAAAATTAACGATTTAAGTCATTTGTTGCTTTTTTTAATGAAAAATACTTGTGTTTTTTCATTTCGCCTACCCTTGCGCATGAGAATTACGATAACTGAATTTTCGTTTTTGAAGTACAAAAGTAATCCACGACAAAACGGTTCGTTAAGCAGACCAGAAATTCTTTATATAGAAATAGTCGTGTTTGTATGTGCATTCTGGTAACCAAAACTGCATCGTAGTGTTAAAAAATATTAATTAACTCTTTAAGTAAAAGTAGATTGTTTAACGGTACTCAACTTTATCGTACTATGTACACTTAAGCTGTAGTTTTAAAAAACATAGAGGCATTATTCTATGGAAAGGACGATAAAAAATTTAGCCCTGTATTACTTTTTCAAGCATACAACTATATTACATGGAAACACGCATTATTGTATTACACTGTATGATGAGTAAATTCTTTTACAAAATGTCTGTACTCAAAGAACATGTATTTTTAATTAATAGTAAAACACAAGACCAGAGAAACAAAAATGGTGTGGCTAGGGCTTGTTGTTTATTTGCTTTACATGTTTTAACTGCCCAGAAAACTTTTGACCTCCCATTTTAAGTATTTCGTTTACATTTTTCTTATACTCCCGCTTTTTAATATAAGTAAAAGCGCATTTTCCATTGAGGTTGAGAACAAATTACATCAAGGATAAAAAAAGGCCATACTCAAATAAACATTTATTTCTTCGTGAAATATAATACCTTATTATTTTCCATATAATGGGTTAAAATAAACTTAAATTTAACGATTAGCAACATAATGACCGTTTGTTTTAGTTTTTATTTGCGGGAATGTTATATTATTGAAATTCTTCAACGTGGATGTAGTTTCCGTATTGCTAAATACTTATTTGATTATTAGCAACAGTAGTATTGTATAATATTACTACCTAATACTCATCGTAGTAAAAATTAATATTTTTGTGTTGCGCTAATGAAAATAAGTAATAAAATAGTTTTATCTTCTTTGATCGCTATTTTCTTTTTGTAGCTGAATTATCTGTCAATATTTCGAAAGTCTAACGCTTTCCATCATTAAGGCTATATCTTAATGTTGTTTGCTTTCGTAGAATACTCGTAGTAAACGTTCCTTAGAATGATTAATTTAGTATTATAGCCTTAAAAATTGAAGTGTTGACCTCCGAAATAATAACGGATTCAAATAGAGCATGTTATGCAATAAAAATAATATTATATTTTAATAATTCTAGAATAATTATTTATTGAATTGGAAATTTCTCTGTATATAATATTCTGGACTTAAAAATTTTGTCAGAATATTTTTTTTAATCAAAAGAAAAAATATGATTAGAAAGTGCACATTAATTATTTTGTTGATGAGTATTTTTCATTTAGCTTAAGTACGAATTAATATTTTAAAATAAACGTTTGTAGTTTTTCTTAATTACACTGGCTATCAATTTACGTATAAAGTTTTGTACAAAAAATGACTTACCTGTACTTCAAGTGCATGATAAGCCATGATAAGTCCCAATAGAATAATTGTGGATACGGATATGAGCGTTTTCAATGATGTCGAGTAAAATGATGTCTAAAAAAAAAAAATAAATAATTGAATGCTGTTCAAGCAATAATTTATATACAGGGTGTTCAGTAAGTCAGGAAACGGGTTTCTATTGTTCTCATTGTTTGTAACAATGAGAACAATAGAAACCCGTTTCCTGACTTACTGAACACCCTGTATATAAATTATTGCTTGAACAGCATTCAATTATTTATTTTTTTTTTTTAGACATCATTTTACTCGACATCATTGAAAACGCTCATATCCGTATCCACAATTATTCTATTGGGACTTATCATGGCTTATCATGCACTTNCAGGTAAAAGATGAACCCAATGATAACGGGTTACTTATTTGACCATTTCTAAATATAGGGTTATATTTTTACTACTCGAGTCAAGCTATAAAAATGTTTTTAAATGTATTGGCCTAAAGATTTATTTTTATGTTTTAAAACAATCATTACAATTTAAGTCCTCGATTCATTATATATTTCCCTCTTTAAAAAAATGGGTTTGTTAGTATTTGAAGGAACTTAAACAATAAAGAATTCTTTGTTATTTGTATTATTTTTCGATTGAAACAATATTGTTACTAATGGAAATATATTTTATCGTATAAATAGAAGAAAGCTTTATGATAAATAAAATCAATAGCAAATAGACAGTTATGATAAGAGTAGGAACTTGCTTTAAGTTAAAACATGTGCTAAATATATTTAATAATGTTTGGTTTGGAAACAAAAATATTAAAATATAACAAAACAAACAAATGAATAATACATGTTTGATATTATTTTTTGTTCAATAAAATAAAGTACTATTAAATGTGTTTCTGCAAGTAATAGACTTTATAACTCTTTATAATTTTAATGTAAATTATTATTACTTCAATTTTATTTTGAATTCATTCATTTAGTATAACTTTAAACTAAAAGTGTCACTTTTCTTTATTTTGACCCCAAAGTTGTTATATGTAACTCAATATAATGAGTTATGATAGTTAAATAGGTGTATATAATAATTTGTGAATATCTCTATTGTAGTAGAAGGAGGTAATTGGCTCTTAAAAATATAAAGCCAGTTTATAAAGTCTATAATCTATCATCCTTCATACTTGACCGAAGAATGCCAACTTTTAGTTGCTAAAAATGAATGGATGAAAAAAAAAAATTATGAAAGAGAGGAGTATGTTTGCGCACCTAAACCCATTCACTGTACTTGGCTAAATGTCAATAAGTTTTTATTACCAATAAACAAGAAGGGTTGTGGTGAAAGTTCCGAAAAACGCGCATTATTTAAACTTCTTAGATAGTATAACTTATCATTGATCAGAATTACGAAATTTGTTCTGATGGGATAAGAAGTGAAGAAGTTAGTTAAAAGGGAAGATTGAGTTAGCCGAAACTTTGGATCACGAATAAAGTTAATATTGGTTTACTATTATAGTCTTTGTGGCTTGATGTCTTTGCTAAAATGGACTTTTCTATTTTTAGTCTTCATTGAACAAAGGCTGAATTCTTGGTATCATATTACAAAGATTAACTTTCGTCGAGTTATTATTGATGTATGACAGATGATGACCGTCTTCTGAATTTATCATTTAAAGTCTTCACATCATTGATAATGTTACTTGTTATTACAAAGAATAACCACTGGCTTGTCATTTGCATCAAGTGGTACATTGTTATAAAGTTTTTCAGACGTTGTAAAAGATCAATCAAACTTCACAAAAGGAAATGCTCAACAGCAAGTTAAATCATGTCACCAACTTAGTTCATGATAACTATGATCTTGTTAGACATGTATAATATTAATTATACGCAGTGTTTTTAAACAATATTTACATATTAGAAACGTACTTGAGTGTTCTTCAGAGCAAAAAATTTGTTAAATTTTCATAATTGTTAAATTAATCATTTTCGTCAGAATTAAATTACTTTAAGAGCATAATACAAGTCACTCATTTCTATGACACTCGACGAAATATTATCTTAGTCCATCTTTGAATTATTCGTTGTTTGGGTTAACGATCCGTTAAAAACTCAATATCTTATGCAATAGAACTCTAGTCAGTAAAATCTCATTGTATTTTCCCTGTTACCCATCTACAAAATCGTTAAAGAGTAGACTTATTCGTTTAGCTGCATATATGTAACGTATATATAGGTCTTCATGTGGTCACATCAAAATGCGAAGCTATTAATATAAAATAATATATAAATTGTGTTGTTGCTTATTTTATATTTTAAACAATTTGATAATTGAACAAATTGATTTTCGATTCAAACTCTTGACTAATGCAGTGTAATTATTTTACAGTATATTTACTTATAAAAATGTTTAGGTAAGGTTAAATAATTGAAAAATGATTTAAATTACTATAAATCAGCGATATATTCATAATTATATTCAAAAGAAAATAATTGGTTTACATTAATTATAAATGTTAAAATATTGAGCATTTATTACACATTGGACATAACTTTAGTACAAATTCATTATAAGTTTATGTGTATAATTTGTATAACTGAAATTTTAATGCTAATAAATTTTAATTCAATAAACATGATTGTCAGATACGTCTTACAATATAAGTGTATGAATTTTAACGGCATATTATAGATAAGCAGCAAAAGTACATTTCTGCGAACCTCCACCGTAACTTAAAAACTGTATAACTTTACTAATAACAATGAAGAAATAAATTTATAACTTTCGTTTTTAGTATAATCTTCTTCGATATAATTTTGCGTCTTTATGCAGTTACTTAAAATGCTAGTAACCTTAAACGACGAAGTTTAAATATTACGTTAGTTTTGTAACGGAAAATAAAATAAACTATTTGACTTCCACTGTTTCTTGGTTAAGTGTATAGGATAATTTTGAACAGTTTTTTTATGAAAAATATCAATTTATCTTTTTTCTTAAGATAAGTTTGAAGTACGATTTTTCCATATAGATCATATAAATCTTAGAAATATAAATAACACTATTAAAAGTGACTTATATGAGTTATTTTATGAACAGAAATGATTTGAAAATTGCTGATTCAGGGGTAATTTTTTAACTTTGGATCAGATTCGTAATTATTTTTGTTATAACAAAAATTATGTTTTTAGTTTTTGCGGAAAAAAATAAAGGTTTTGAAAGCATAGAAGTTATTTCAAGCGTCGAAAGTTTACTCCAGCTTTTTTTTTACTAGTTCCAAGCCAAACCGTACTCTCGGAATTTACAATGTGAATCAGTGGACCTAAAATAATTTTTGAGTTATTACTATGCCTGTTTACAAGCAACTAATAATGCCTATCGTACTATTTTTTAAATTACGAGTTTAGCCTTAGTTTTTATTTCGCCTAAGTTTTAAAAATAAAACTTGATGTTGTTGTCTGTTTATGATCTTTTCGTGGATTAAGGCAAATAGTTTTTGATGACAAATGTAGAATAGAACTTTTAAATATGCAATGCATTTTTTCATTGATTGTGGTTTTGTTTATATTTTTTTATAGGTTTTATATAGTTGTATGTCATTTGTAGTATTTGTTTAACATAAATCGTTAGAAATACTTGATAGTATAGATATAATCTTGATGTTAGATTCAGTAAAACAGAAAACGACAGCCACGTGTTAGTGTAGAATTATTGGCCAATTAATGATGAATGAATCATTCTGTATATATTATAACTTATAAGAGTTAAAGGCTAAACAAATAACGTATGAATACCAGTATTATATAATTTAATAAAATTAAGTTTTAATTATTTTAAAATTGTAAGCAGGTTCATCTTACTTACATAAAATATACTAGACTGTTGACTTTGCCTTTAGTATTAGAGTTTTAATTTATATATTTGATTAGTTAAAATTGTTACTATACTTTAACTAATAATAATAAAAATAAATAATAATACACCGCTTTGAGATAATAATAGTAAAATATCATAAATTTATTGTAATAGCAGTGACCGTTTTCCTATGAATAATTTACTAATCGAGAATTTTAATTGAAATCCATGTGCGTACTACTGTAGCAAAGTTAACGACCATTACACACATTAGAGTTTAGTTTACTTACTGATCACGTTGTGTATTATCTTCTTTATTCGACCTTAACGATCGTTTAAGCTTGACTGTTAACTATTATATGCGAAAAAAAGTATGTATATATACGAGAATGGGTGTGTATGTGTGTACAATAATACGTTGATCTAGAGTGTGCGAGCGACAAAAACATACATCACAGGCAGGAAGTTTCTTGAGCCAAAAAACCCTCCTCATTCTGTAATTTTACCAGGCAATAGGAGGTTGGCAATTGTTCAAGTAACAGTCTGTCAGAGAAATGTCCTTGTACCTCTTCTCATTTGTCCTTCCATCTCACTACTTCTTAAACACTAGCTTGACAGCCTTGCAATTTTTCATTGCCACGCCCCTACTTCCAAAATCGTTAAAAAGTGTAAATCGTCAGAATTAATGATTGGAACACTAAGGAAAAAATCTATACGAATATCTAAAATCTTTTAAATAATGAAAAATGGTTAAGGATAGGAAAAAATCATCTAAAAGTTACGAGGCATTGCCTGAAGTGCGCACTGTCTCGGGTTCGAAATTCGGTCATGGACAACTCAGTTTCCCGAGTGAGAGATCAGTTCAGTAGTTTAAGTTGACATCATCCATGGTTTAAAAACTTTCCCTTAGGAGGAAGTAGCAATTACCCTCCAAGGGTCGCGAAAGTGAAAAAAAACGTTCATAGTTGACACTTATATTAGAGAATTTGATATTTCGTGATAAGATGATTCTAAGCAGATGAATTTAGGATTAAACAATCNCGCACTGTCTCGGGTTCGAAATTCGGTCATGGGCAACTCAGTTTCCCGAGTGAGAGATCAGTTCAGTAGTTTAAGTTGACATCATCCATGGTTTAAAAACTTTCTCTTAGGAGGAAGTTGCAATTACCCTCCAAGGGTCGCAAAAGTGAAAAAAAAGTTCATAGTTGACACTTATATTAGAGAATTTGATATTTCGTGATA